ATATATATATATATATATATACGGCCAAAACGGTTCGGTACCGCTCGCTTAATAAATTATAGGTATTATAGAAGTTTTAGATCTAAATTAAACAGTTTATTAACAAAATCTGACTCTCCTATTATAAATAAAAACATACTTCTCTTACAACATTACGATAAATGTATTATTAAACACTCTTGATCCACATCGACTCGACAGAAAGAAATTTCCCTTATCGACCAAACAAAAGATGACAGTCTTCCCTCCTCAATCTCGTCAGATCAATAAAAAAGCCACTGGTACACCGATTCTCTCCACAAAGTGCCCGCGATCAGAACACATAAGTAAGCCTATTATCAACAAATAATGAAAAAAAATAATAGAAGAGGTGCAAACTTGGAGGGTCAGAGACACGGAGTGTAGTCCAGGCTTGTGTGCTGATTGATTATTTCATGTTTTCGAGGGCGTCAACTGCTATGGTTAATCCCGTAAGTTTAGCGTATTTTTTTATCACGGGAGGTGGCAGTGTTTGTACCCCACTGGAGAGAGAGACACGGCGTCGAACTACTCTGCCGTTTGCGGGGATTTCCCCATTTAGATATTTCCCCTCTCACTGGCGAGCCACCGTCTCAGTCGAAAAAAGTCTAAGCTTCTGACATGTGTGGTAATGTAGTAGGTGTATGTGTTTGTAAGTGTGGAGTGAAGATAAGACAAGGAAGAGGAAGGAAAGATAGCCTGCGGTCCTTGGCCCGTTTGTTAGAGGATTCACCTCAAGTTGATGGAAGAAAACAGAAAACACGAAAAACTACAGCTATACTAGCGGTCAGCTAGAATTAAACTGCTGGATGCGGCTGAATTTAACATTACTATCTATCTAGTGACGCAAATTCTGTCACCATCGAGACTGGAATACCAGCATCTCCCACTCAGAGGCAACGCTGTGACTTCAGATGATGCCCACAGTCATCTAAGCCGATTGGGAAAAACTAGTGATGTTACAGAATGGCAGCTCCTTTCTCGTATTAGCTTTTTTTCTTTGGTCTAGGCTTGCTTTTCGGACTTGCTACATACTCTTGCGTACCATACCTTGCCGCCACATTTTAGCCGCCCAAAGTACATTATTTTTTTTAATTTTCTCAATTTTTCGTTTTCGTAATAGAAGAAATATTACTTTAATATTTTAAAAGAAGAGTAAAATCTTATCAAAAATGCAAATTTGCATTGAAAAATTTGGAGCCATTTTTAAGAAAATGGTTTTTAAGCGTTACTGTAAATGCGAAATTTGAATCTCTTTTTCATAGAAATTGTATGTGTTTTCGATAAACATCATTTGGAGTCATTTAAAGCACTACCAACCAAAAATGCAATAATGTATTCAAATTGCTGGAAATTTGCATAATAACGGTATGAGAGACTTGTGAAAAATTGTGCATTAAAGTACAGTAAAATGCATTTTATGTTATATTAAACAGTGCAATAAGCACTATCGATATGAAACGTCTGAAGAAAAATATTTGTGCCGTTTTTGAGAAAATTACGTTTGAACGTTACTGAAAATGCGGAAATATGAGTTCATTTTCACAGAAAACGTTTGAGTTTTCTAGAAGCTTTATGAGACAATTCAGAGCAAATGTACTCATAAATACAATCATGTAAACAAATCGCCTCGATGTAAATATCAAGGACGTGAGAGACAAAAAAATTAATTTTTGTAATTTTTGAAAAAAACAAAAGAATAGAACAATATGGCGTTTATGTAATCCTATAGAACATATTTTGCTCTATCTCTACTCAATGTTTAAAGAAAGAGTTTTGAACTGTTTTTGAGAAAATCGAGCTTTTATGAAATGTTTTAAAATTGTACATATTACACGCAATATTGCGTAAAACTACTTCAAGTTTTTAATAAAAAATACATGAACTTAATGAAAGAATTAATTATGGGCAAAAATGTTCATTTGAAAGCAAAATCTCTATCTCTAATTTTTTTTTGAATCGCAGGAAAGCGACGAAAAAAATTCACTTATGAAATTTTCGAAAATTTGGAGCTAACCGTGCAAATGTGATCTATGCCACATTTATAAGTGTATTTTACTCTATTCTTACAGAAATAAAGAAAACATTTCGAGCCGTATTTGAGAAAATTTTTAAAATGTCCGGTGGGCTTCAGGTAAAATACCCACAAATTTTAAAAAATATATTTCAAAATATCAAAGCTTCCACTCGAGTCAAATCGATAAGTGCTTCTTCAATTTAGAAAAAATATTACGTATGGTTTAGGCACAACTAGTGGTGGCAAAGGCTAATGACAAAGACTTTGTCATATTAGTTTTTTATTTCCTTTGGTCTTGGCATGCCTTTGGACTTGCCACATACTCTTTCCAGCTGCCACCTATCGCCACCCAATTTATTTTTTTTTTAATTCTTAATTTTTCGCTTTTCTTATTCTAGAACGGAAATATTATTTCAAGAATATCAAATAACAATAAAACCTCGTCCTAAATAGCAATTTGCCTTGAAAAATGTGGAGCCGTTTTTATGAAAATGGCGTTTAAGAGCTACTACAAATGCGAAATTTGAAGCTCCTTTTCACATAAAATAGGGTAGCAGTAGGCCGACGCGAATTCATACTTTTGAAATTTTCTAAAATTTAAAGTTAAAATGAAAATCGTAAATTGTATTGTAATTTTTTTAAATATCTTTCACGGCGTTAACATGCCCATTTCCAGAAATTTGTAAACACTACTGTATTTGTGAGTTAATGTGCTTCAAACGACTTCTGATACAGTTTTTCGAAAACTCAAGATTTTTCTGTGAAAAAGAGCTAATTTCGAATTTATAATATGCGATATTTTTTTAAAAACGGCTCCAAATTTTTCAAATTAAATTGTTATTTAGGAGGAGGATTAACTGTTTTTAATATTCTTAAAATAATATTTCCGTTCTACGAGTAGGAAACCGAAAAATTAAGCAAATTAAATAAAAAAGTACTTTGGATAGCGATAGATGGCAGCTGGCAAGAGTATGTAGCAAGTACGAATAGGTAACCGAGACGAAACGATATAGAAAACGAATACGGGAAAGTCTGTGCCATACTGTAGCACTACTAGTTTTTTAATGTTGTCAATGAGTGGCTTTACCTGGTTAAACTATACATGTTCCTTGACTTAGAGTTCTTGGATAGTTCTTACAGTAAGTTGTATTCATGTTCACTTTTTCGACAAGTTAATTCAGATTCATTGTTAATTAACAGTAACTCGTCAAGTTCGTTATTCTACTGATGTATCACCTGTAAAAATTGTAAACATTGACTAATTTATCAATTATTACCTAACTTTTGCCGAACATAATGATTTTAAGGACGACTCAAAATATCTCTATGCCCAATTTGACCGTTAGTTTATGTGAAGTCTAATTAATATGGAACTACCGTGATAAAATAAATTCCCGAGAAAATGAGGTCACTTCCCACCAAGCACTTGAGCTTTCGTGCATTGGGTTCGCGTGCGGGAGACTCAGCGAGCAGCAAATTTCCATTCTCTGGCATTTTATGGCCCAGACAATGCGATGAGAATGCGATCTCCTCATCGTGAACCGGGTTTTGCAAAGTTTGCTGTGTCATTCCTGAAAAAAACTTTCAAGGAACGTATATGTCTTCTCAAACGCGTTCATGTGTTCCTTCAGTCAAATAATATTCCAGTAACAGTAACACTGTTGAGATTTCATCTTTAAAAACGATACTTGTAAATGTTTTTTTAAAATGTAGACGTTTGTTTTATGCTAATGAACATAAAACATTATGATATTAATGTTTGTTAAACGATGAAAGAAAGTCCTTTCTTAACCGAAAGTAGGCAGTCACTCCACTAATGTTTGTGCTATAACAAAATGAAAAAAAAATGAAGTTAAGAAAGCTAACAGAAATCGAAATCTGGAAAATAAAATTATAATTGAAAAGTTAGATATAATTAAATAACTAGTGGTGATACAGCATGGCACTAATTAGTTTTCTGATCTCTTTAATTTAGACAAGATTTTCGGAATTGTTCCACCCGCTTCACTTCGCTCGTCGTGAATTAATGGGTGGATAGGTTCTTTTAGTTCACAAATTGGACTGATCGAGGCCCCATCGACGGTACCAGACTTTATGTGGCTCCATCACAGCGCCGAACGAAGATTAGTTCGTTTAAACTAGTTCTTTCATTAATGACACATCTCTACCTGTAATTGCAATTGTATTAATTGCATGTTGAAAATGTAATTGGTAATTGTAATTGAGTACAATAAATAACAAGTAACTGTAAACAAGCCCAATTCCTTTTTTATTCAATTAGTGTTTAGGGTTTTGTGTTAAATTAGAATCGCCTTCAACCAACGCTCTCGCTGTCGCCAGGCATGGAGGTATCGGACAGCTCGAAGCGCGCGCACATCGCCATGCTGCAGTGTCTGGGCTGGACGACGGGCATGTGCCTCATGCCCATGATCGCCTGGGCTACTGGCGACTGGATCACCTTCATTTTCATTACGTCACTTCCCTGCGCCTCCTTCCTCTTCTTGCACAGGTGAGTCAGCGTGCGCTGTTTTCTCTTGCTAGACATTTGTTTACATGAATTGAAGAAATTCCGCGAAGTAACAGCATCTAATGATGAAGATGCGAGGACTTTTTATTGAAGACGTTAACTTCCAATGGAAAGGTTGGCCTTCTTAAGAGCAATGTTTTTGTCCCATATCTTGGTAGGTTATTTAAAGGTTGGCTGAAAATCAAGCTTGTACTTAGTGCGGGTACGATTTTCTAGTGTACTTATCTTTGGGAAATATTTGAAATAATTATTACCTTATATTTCCGTACAAATCTTTAAAATATCTACTTTCTGGATTTTACAAGACCGACACGAGGTATCGTATCGGTACACCACATGTCCTTACAGATAGTATATGCAATAGTATCTCAAAAACAATTCTTCAAATTGTGAAATAATTTCATTATTCTTCAACCTTCCAATAAAACGGATTATCATCTTGAATACTATTAAATCAAAATATTACACAATTAATAAGTATTTAAGTCCATAAATATTATACAACTAAAGCACAGTTCAGAACGTGCCGAAACAGCCTGGGTCTGGGGTGGGGTGGAGGATGTGTGGGAGTGGGGGGGCTCAGAAAGCTGGTGCGCATGCGTGCACACGACCTCGTTCTTGTGCGTTGACGCGCCTCCGCCGCCGCACCTGGCAGCCGAAAGCGCGCTTTGGAAGGAACCTCTCGGCCCATCTTCCAGGCGACTGCCAGGCTCCTAAATAAAAGATTGGGCTATTTCCGCCCTTCCGAAACTTTGAACTGCGCGAATGTGTTCGGAATATTCGTGGTCAACCCATTATATGCATTCGTAGGCTTCCGCGGCCGGAGTCATTGGATACTTGGCTGTCCGGGGTGAGCCGCGTCTCAGTCGATCGAGTCGGACAGCCACGTATCCAACCCATTACATCCATGTTATCAAAAGTTTTAATTTATAATTTCTTTAAGTCCTTTACAACGTAATTTACCAAAATGAGGATGCATGCCTCAAAAGACATTAATAACGGAGCATAACAGAAACTTTTGAAAATTTCGGAATGCTAGATGTTGATTTAGCCATGACCTAAAGCTTTGTGCGTTCCTGGCCAGGGCGTATCCATAACTTGCGTCACAACGTTTCGAATCTTCTTCCAAAACCGTTCTATGAACCTGGCAGTTGAAGTGCGCGCTTGCGAACGTTGCGATCGAGCCTCTTGGCCTATCTTCCCGGCGTCTGTTCGGCTCCTAAACGAAAGATTAGACTATCTGGGACCTTTCGAAAATACTTTTAACTGCGCGAAAGTGTTCGGGATTCTCCTGGAAAAAATATGAGATATTTACGATGAGGTGCATTTAAGTGATAGATGGACAAGCAATCGCCCCTAGAGTGCTTATCAAACAATGAAAACTATTTCATGTGTTTATAACAAACCAAAAGGCACACACACGTAGTTTCAGAAGCCCCAAAGAACATCCAGTTCAGATAGGAATATACAGCGCCTGGGTAGAAACAGAACTAAACAGAAACATTTTAATGTATCATCAATGAACTGTCTTTTGGGCAATCACTTTTAGAGCGCTTAACAAACAATAAGAACTGGGTATGTAATAATCCAAATGGTTTACAAGTTGAAGTTTCAGAGATCCCACGAAATATCACGGGCAGATGGGATTATTTAACTGAAACAGAAAGATTCTAATGTGCTATCAAAGAATAGAAAAATATTAAATAAAGAGAAAGTGATTTCTTACGAAATTACATAAACATTCTACGAGAGTATGCCGTATACGTTTATCAGTACAGGTACAATATAATATCTATAGCTCTTATCTTTTTGGATTTACGTTTCCGATCGCTGTATTTACTTAATCGGCTTGCGCAGATTTTCGTTTTCATTTGCCGTGATCGATAAGATAATGACAGTTATTCTTTAAAGTCTACTTTGAGGTCTAGCGTTCATTAGCCACACGTTGATGGGCTCTTTAAAGAAAAATGTTTGGTCCCCAGCCTTTCAAAAGTACATTGAAGTGTGTGGAATTGCCCTTGATTTTTCTTGTGAAGATAAACAATACTCAAAAAAGATAAATATTTGAAGATTGTTTCACAATGTGAACAGAATCACCCACGAAATTATGCATTAAGAAATATGCCTTTCTAAGAAATTCTTAAAGTCAACGGATTAACAAGTGCGTCATAGAGCCACTAAAAAGGGAATTTTGAAAATTATATTAGTTACAAAGAGAAATTGATCAAACGTCAACGCTAAGTAGAAATCATTTAAAAGGTATAAATTACATCATTTAATATTCCTTTTTATTTTTCACATCTTTCCCTGCTATTTATTTAAGAATAGAGAGCCATTTTAAAACATTATATTTCTTCATGAAATGAGTTAGAAACATAAACCTGATTAAATTATATTGGAAATATTATTAGTACCTACAGATAAACGTTAAAATATGGAACTGGAAAGGTCAAATTGGTGCTCAGGATACTGAATTGAATTAGTTATATTTCCCGAAGGCTTGGCATTTGAACCAAAAACAGTATTGTCACTTATAATATTTTCATGCCTTTTATTTTAGTGGCAGAGGTATACATAACGTCACAATATTAAAACATTACATCATTAGTTGAGGGGACCAACTCAACATTTATAATGTCATATTTTTCTATTAAAATACTAAATACACGTTTTTTAAAACAATATCGTATCACATCCCAAAGCTTACGTAGATAATGTAGACCTCGAATCTTTAAAATATAGCATTGACTTTTCAAATTTAAAATCCAAATAGGTGAGAACTGTCACATTATTCACAAGCGATTTCTTAAGCGTTGAAAATATTCTTGAGCGTTGCTGCGCACACCATGTTGACTGAGTGTCCGAAATATGCAGCGATAAATTTGGCCCGCACCTCCTCCAGGCAACGCCGCCTTAAAGTAGAACTGCCCACGCGCGCATTACGAGTGTCTTTGATGTTGAGCGCCATGACAGTGTCAGCCTCAAGGCTACCGCTGCGCCGCTACCAGTAGAATCAATCCAGGGAGTTCTCAACGAACAAGTGGAACGAACAGATATATCACGATTTGTTTTTGATTGATTCTCCAGGTTGTTTCCCATTGCTGCTAGCCGGCATTAATTCCGTGAACATGCTTGTCATTCCCTTCCTTCTTTCGAGGATGAGGATTCTCTGCACATGGGCAAAAAATAAATTGTTGAGAACATTTTATTTACTTAAGAGGAAATGAACTATTTATTAAATGCACTAGCTCAAGAGAATTTGACAGTGATCTCCAATTAAAGTGAAGCAGGGGTAACCCTAAGAGGCATCGAAACGACATTCAATTCGCTGTAATAAGTTTATACGATTACTATAGCACTGTGTCCAAATATTTGGGTTGATTCTATCAAATTCCCATATCCATACTCATCGATCGCGATATCATTAAGTATTGAGGTAATTTCCATTTCTTTTCACTTGTTCGTACAAGCACTAGAGAGAAATGTGTTTAACACTGCGAAAAATATATGTGGAGATTTTTAAGAAAATACACGTTTCGGGGTTCCTGTCATAAAAAAGTGATGTTTTCAAAAATATCTTCTGTCCGCCTGTCATTTATGTTTACCCGATAATAATACTAGTGCCTAAAAAGGACACAAAATTTTCTCTAAAACAGATTTTCTCCGACTTATCTGACCGATTTGGAGGCCCTGGGGATTTAAAACGGTTCTTTAATTTTTTGAGAATTCTTTAAAGTCCTTAGGTCGTTTTAATTTTTTTTAAACATTACCCCACCTTTTTCATTAAACCTTCTGCAAGAATACAAAACAATGCACTAAATCATAAACCACAGGAACAATTTTCATTAAAACTTACGAATTTTCATAGAGTTAACATGTATTTTTTAAACTTAACTATCTTCCTAATATTTACGCTTTAGATATTTTTCATCATTTAAAGGATTTGTGGTTACAAAAACTTCAAGTTACAGGTAATGAAATTTTTCAAAGAAATCGAGATTAAGGGAACTCAAATGTCGCATCTTCAAAACCGTTCAAACAAATTTTCTCAAAAAAACAGCACTTACGTTTTCTCAACAATTTAAAAAGTGGATTAACATATTAGAGGATTTGAAATATGAAGAAGAGTGAAAAAAAGGAAGTGTTTTTTATCAAACACAATAAAAAATCAGTGTCACAGTAACGAAATCTAAATCATTGTATTAATTGAAATGTTTTCTAAATGTTGTTCTAAAATATTTTGTGAAAACTGTGTGGTTATGTAGAAAACATTTTTAGGGGCGTTAATGTTCTGTACTGATCATATCCAAACTTTATCCGGAGCTTGGGCAGCGCGTTGGTGTGCGAGTGCGTGTTGGGAGCGCTCGCGGCAAAAGCGTACTACGCGATATGGGCGAGTGAGGCGTGAGCATGCTTGTGGTGAGCTGTGAATAGTGAGTGTGAACAGGCCTGCGATTAATGACTAGTGGCGCTTCAACAGCATATACTTTCTCGCATTTTTCTACATTATCAATTTTCTAAAATTCAGAGGATTCAATGAAAAAATTAGGGCGGTTAAAAAACTTTTTTTTTTCAATTACCTATATTTTGCGCTAAGTTACACGAAATCTACTCATATTTTCGAAAAATTGAACATGAACCTATTTAAAAATCCGTCTTAAAAGAACAGGTTTTATTCAGGAAATACTTCTACCTTCAATATTAGAGTTATAAGATGAAGCCCAAAAATTGCAATTTTGCAATTTTCAAAAAGTCGACAATTTTCATGAATATGAGACCTGCACCATCCTCTTACGCGTTCTTTACGCTATCAGAAGACAAAGTGTGATCAAGCATTTGGTATCATTTTTCAGAAAATCTTGACAATGTTCGTGAGGCATCATGTAAAGTTCCATCAAAAATTTCAATATCCGTTTGCTACTCCAAAAGTCTCGAGTTCATTAATAAAGATTGGGTAATGTCAGTTTTCAAGAAAATCGGCTGAGCTTTAGGCACTAACGATGACCACAAACGGACAGACAGACGTATTACCGACAATCAACTTTTCGGTATCAAAAATACACAAAACATGGATTCTAGCTACTCCACGTGTTCGAAGAATTTTCTCTCTACATTTAGCAACAGGAGGTATGCACTTTTTCGTTACCAGGGTCCGGCAATAAGAGATTTTCTGCTGAAAATTCGCCGTTTTCCCGTCGCACGATTTCATAACTTTCTCTTCTTACGAAAAAATCTTCCTGAGGGCGAGAAAGGAAAATTCAAGGAAATTGATAGCTGAAATTATGAATTTTTTTGTTGGCGATTCTAAAAAATAATGAAAAATGCCACGTTTTCTTGAAAAATTCAATTATACTTAGATTTTTATGAACATTTACCATATATTTGTTCGGGCTTTTTGAAAGAGGCGCCAGAATTGTTTCAGATTAAAAGAAAAAAAAATATTTTGGGATAGAAACAAAAAAAATATTTATTGGTATAGAAATGGAGAAAAAGAATTTAAGTACTTCGAGGAAGGTTGGAATCTGGTCTATTGTTCTGATGTCCTCGGATTCATGAGCAAATTTAATACCTACCATAAAGATGAATGGAGGCTGTTTATAGATTCATCAAAAAGGAGCTGATGTCCTGCTTCATCACGGAAGCCAGTATGCATCTATACCAGTTGGCCATTCGGTGCGTTTAAAATGACGCTATAAAATCTGGTTCTCGTCCTCAACAAAATAAAATATGCTGTCAACGGTTGGGCCAGTTGCGGTGATTTGAAAGTTATCTCAATGCTTCTTCGTCAACAAGGCGGATAAAGAGTTCCCGGTAAAGATAAAGGAAAAAAATAACAAAACAATAACAAAGGAAAAAGAAGCTTGAGTTGCCTTCAAAGTTGCCGTTAGTCAACTTTTGGGTAATTATACGATCCTGACTATAAATTGTTGCAAAGGAAAAAGAGTACGAATTTAAATAGAATCTATTAGGCTATATTGTTTTGTTTTTTTGCTCAGTTTATAGTTTGTTTCAGAGTTTCATGTACACATACTCCTTTCAGTCGATCATATACTTTATGTAAGTTACCTTAATAAAACAAATTAAAATAATATATTAGTTGATTTTTTCTCGAAACTGCACTATAATTTCATGTAAAAAGTTTAAACTCAAGGTTTTTTCTCTCGATCAGAGATGGCTCGTGCGTTCTAGCAACAGTGAGTTTCATTTATTTAAAGCTATAACAGCTGCAACAGTACTTACTTACAATGTTATCGTTATGTATGAGGGGACGCACATATATGCTTCATTAATTTCAAACAGAAATTACGCGAAAAGGACAAACTTTTACGAAAAATTGTACATAGACTTTTTTAAAGACCTAATTTTGTACAACAGACTATGTCTGAGGCAAAAAACACTGCCTTCCATTTTGTAATTTAAATTTTGTTGTTGCAACGTTCAAAAAATTGAGCAATAGCCGAAAATGGAACAAGCACAACATTTTTTACCGTCGCTTATTACATTAGTGAAGAAAATTTAAAGAAAAAATTGAAGCGGCTATTGAGAGGAAAAATCGCGATAATTTCAAGGAGTAATTATGCAAAAACTACTTAATTTTTCAAAAAATTGTATAAGACCGTTTTAAAGAATTAATTTTGCAAGCGTATGTGACGAGCGAACGTCTCGAGGCTGTATGTGTTGTGAGAGTGAGCGCGCGTGTCCTAAACAATCGATGTGTGAGAATGTGTGACGGTGCGTGGAGAGGGCTTGCTTGTGGGATTATGAGTTGCAAACGTAGGTCACGTTGTGGTTCGTTGCGTAAGCATACGAAGAGTTAGTGTGGGTAGTATCAGCGTGTGAAAGATGAGCATGCAAGCGTGAGCGTACGTGCTGTCAGCGTGTATCGTAAGTCGTGAGCGTGGATGGTGTAAACGTACGTGTCGTGAACGTGTGAAAGCTGAGGATGCGAGTGTGGGACGTACGTGTCGTCAGTGTGCGTTTCGGAAGCGTGGGTGGTAAAAGCATACGTGTCGTGAACGTGCGAGGCCTTTTCCCGCGAGCGTCACTGTACGCGTCGTGACGTGGGCGGGCTGAGCCTGCGAGCGTCGAGCGTACGTGTCGTGAGCGTACGAGGTATGAGCGTACGTGCTAATGCTGAGGCTGCGAGTGTGGAGCGTACGTGTCGTCAGTGTGCCTGTCGGAAGCGTGGGTTGTATGAGCGTACGTGTCGTGACGTGAGCGGGCTGAGCCTGCGAGCGTGGAGCGTACGCGTCGTGAGCGTGGGCGTGCGCGTGGGCGTGCGTGCGCAGGCTGTTCCCGGAGTCGCCGCGCTGGCTGGCGGCGCGCGGCCGGGCGGACGACGCGCTGGTGGTGTTGCGACGCATCGCGCGCCAGAACGGCACGCAGCTGCCGCACGACACCGCCAGCAAGCTGGCCACGCTGGCGGCGCGCAAGGAGACGGTGTACGGCGTCGCGTCGCTCTTCACCGGCTGGCGCCTGCTGCGCAACACCATCTTCCTAGCCTGCTGCAGGTGCTCGCCCTGCTTTGCTTTCCTGGCGATGAAGCCATTCCCCGACGAGTCGTCCCCCCCCCAAAAAAAACGGATTTTTGAAATATCTTCGAACGTAGCATGATGAGGAAAAGTAACCCAGTGATTCCCAGGAGTAAGAAAGATAAACCGTGTCTGTATCCCCAGGATGTCACGTTTTTCTCCATTCAAAGAGAAAATCAAAATAAATATAAAATTGCATTCGAAATTGTTTTCCTGAAATAAACAGAATTAAAAACGTGCATTAACCAAATCTAAAATTTTGTACGTAGGTATATTCTTGTATGGTTTCTACTATTTGGTTCTTTCCAGCAAAATTGAAAATAAGTATTAAACAATATCAGTGTCCCTCCTGGTTCCTATGTTCTTAGTCCAGCATTAGTTCTTTTTGAAGGCGAACACATCGTCTGTATCTGTCACTAACTTCAGTAATAGATATTACATTAATAATATGATTAAATATTTAGGAACATTCTCATTTGTCTCAAGGTTACCAAAAACACTGGACCACATTTTCAAACAAGCCTCGATTCGTATGATAAATTTAACCAGAACTACATAAAATAGTACATTATCTTCTAGTATGAAATATTTTGTTGAAAATTATTGTTACAAAAAAAATTTATTGACGACTTCACAAGATTTCACTTATCTCCAACATGACTAGCATGAATAAAATTAGTAACAGCTTTCCATTTAAATGTGTTACTCAAATTCGGAAGTGAAAAGTGGTAATTCAAATCCGTTCAACCACAAAGCGGTTGAATTTTCCTTCTACTGTTTGTAAGCATGCGCCCAACCACACAATTGCAACTACGTTATATTGCTCAATCGTACATTCATTCTACTGTGAGAAACTAGTAGTGAATGAAAAGTATTCTCCCAAATACTTAATTTTATGAGTGCAATTTATTTGTGATATTATAATCAATAAAGCAGAATTTGTGAAACAAAAAATTGAAGTCAAGGTGTTTGTCAACAATTTTCAAATCATCACAATCTATTTCGCATTGCGTGCAGGATGATCGGCGTGCTGACGTACTACACGATGGTGCTGAACGTGAGCAACATGTCGGGCAACCCGTTCCTCAACTTCCTCTACCAGTCGCTGGTGGAGCTGCCGGGCTTCGTGCTGGGCCGCTACCTGGGCGACCGCCTGGGCCGGCGCTGGACCGCCACCGCCGTGCTGCTCGTCGTCTCCGCCTGCAACTTCCTCATCGTCGCCACCGTCACCAGTACGTCTTTGTTTTTTTATGCTAGCCTGCTATGGATCGGTTGATTAATTCGTGTATTCCGGTACGACAACTGCCACTGTAAGTGTAGCGTTTCCACACTCAATTTCCCCAGCATCTGAATCCGACGCAGCTAGTGTCGTAAACCCTGCCACCGTCGGGACTCGTACCCTACGACCTCCTAGTCAGAGACACTAAGATGACACTTGATGCCTTAAGCCATCTATGATGGTACCTTCTATCGAGATTAAATTATTAACTCGGCATTGCCTGCAAGGCATAAGGTAACGTTTGTACGCGAAATATGTCTGTCAGATACTCCAGTCGCTTTCGCCTGTTAACAGTGTTTTCTAAAGGTGTTTTTTTAAAATGAAAATCGTTGTACAGCCAGGCTTCATATGATATTTAAGATTTATTTGACATTTGGTTTCTAACATTTATAACACTTATTTGTCAACTTCTCAGCGTGTATTCACTGACGCGAGAGCTCTCTATGTATCTTATATCACAATACGAATTACTTTTCTGCTCCACATTAGTTGTTTGCAAGGTCCTGATCAGACAGTTGCGACGCATTTTTAAATGTTGTGTTGTTTAGATAATTAACATAAGAAGAGAAACTGAAACTGAAATTAGAAGTAATTGTAAGAAGATTGTAAACTGAATAATGAAGTTGAGTAAATTCATGCTTTACTTCCAATCTCTTGGAGAAACTAAATGCTTTAATAAATTATAATATCACTTATTTTATCACAATTATGTTACATTATGAAGCCTAATACAATATACTATTAATACAATTTTAACAACGTATAAATACGAGTTGCTGACCCCACCCGTCAACCCGATTTATTAGGCTTTCAGAGGCAAGATGCTCTAGTTGAAATCATGAATCGTTCAATTTGAAATTAAACTTAAATTACGAAACGCGCTCTCGTTTGCTCGCAGCACCCGGCCTGGGCTGGCTGACCGTGGCCACCGTGGTGGTCATCCGCTTCCTCAACACCATCGTCAACTACATCGGCTACCTGCAGGGCATGGAGCTGTACCCCACGTGCATCCGCCAGACGGGGTCCTCGGTGGGCCACGTGGCCGCGGGGGCGCTCGCCATACTCGGGCCATACGTCGTCTATTTGGTGAGTACCAGGGGCCTAGTTAGCCCATAAGGTGCAACCGTTGCGCGGCGTCAGGGCCGTTGGTCGACCCCCAACACACATTGATTAAAACACCGTGACACTTCAAAGATACGAGCAGAAAAGAGAGGAGGAAACGGTCATCCAATCGCGGGCTTCAATACCAAAACTACAAGTCGTAACGAAGCTCGCGATTGTATCACAGTGGCTCCTCCTGCCAGTTTGTGGCTTTAAAGGGACACTCAAATTTAATCGGAGAATACGTTGGCAACAGCTATGAAGAGTCCCATTTGGACTTTCCTCACCGGAGCCCTCGAGATCGTAGCTACGCCTCTGGTGAGTAGACGTCTTCGTAATGTACTTGGTAGTGCAAAGCTTCGACCTTCAGCTCCTGTTTCCCATCAAGATTCAAGTCATGTCTCAAGTACCAGCGCCTGGGTCGTGTCCAATTTTGCGCATTTACCGTTATCATTTTAATTGGATCTGCTGAATAAACTGATAAGTGACGTTTTTACTCAAAACTTTACGAATTTGCTATTGAATTACTCTAATCATTCTCCACAATTTTGTAATTGATTTTAATTTTTATTTGGCGAATAATTGGCATTTATTTACATAACGTAAATTATGTAATAAGACATGAGACCAGTTATTAAAGTAAAATCAATCGGGAAGTCGGTTCACACACGTTAGAATATTAATTTAAATAATCACATGATTGCAAAATATGTTTATCTTTTCTTAAGTTTACTTTGCATATGCTATTTTTTTCAAAACATGCTCTCTTAAGACACCCACGCCTGCCCCCATCAATGGTATGATTGTAATGTGTATCTACTGCACAGAAGCGAAACCACATATACAAAAGGCGCATTCAGAAAATAAGTTTCCTTAGGTCGCCAAACTAAAACACAATTTCAAGAAAAACGTTTAAAGTAGCAGATTAGTACGTAGGGTAGACACACACGTCTCGGCTCATAACATATTGTAACGAATATTGCTTCATCTACCGGGATATTCGAACCCCCCGAACCGCCCCCCGAACTGGACGGTTCTGGGTTATTCGCGAGTCGCGTAGTGGTGTGGCGCAAGTTCCCGATGGCTCGAGGCAGGCGCCGGCCAGATATAAATTCGCCGCTGCCGGCTGCCGCTGGCAGTAGCAGGCAGTCAGTAGCAGTAAGCAGCCGCGAGTCAGTCAGCGTATGTAGTCAGTGAATAAGCAGTCAGTTAGTTGGTGCTTTGGTGAACAGCAGCCTGAAGTCGGAAGCTGAACACCAGAGCAGTGGACCCTGATAAACGCAGTGAATTGTGGTCTGCGCAATGAATCATGGTGTGCGCAGTGAATCGTGAACTGCGCAGAGAATCGTGGTCAGAAAAGTGGATCGTGGTCTGCGCAGTGAATCGTGGTCTGCGCAGTGAATCGTGGTCAGCGCAGTGAATCGTGGTCCACGCGGTGAATCGTGGTCCGCGCGGTGAATCGTGGTCTTCGCAGTGAATAATGGTCTTCGCAGTGAATCGTGGTCTGCGCAGTGAATCGTGGTCTGCGCATAGAATTGTAGTCTACGCAGTGGACCGTGGACAGTGCATCGGACTGTACGATAGTGTTGAAGAAGTAAACAGTGTAAATAAATAATCAGATTGCAGTGAACAGTGTAAATAAATAATCAAGAGAACAGAGTCGTGTGTAAGGAAAATAATCAAGTGAAGAACTGTGCACCCTATCTGTAAATAAATCAAGTATTTTTAGTGTAGCATTAAGAAACAAAATTACGTTTTTGTTAAATATTACCTGTGTGTTTTAATTCACCACCGAGAAACGTTACAATATCTTCTTTCGCAGATTTGTTGGAAGGCGTTTGATAATCCGCTCAATACACCAATCTCGCTCCCGACGATTTTCTACTTTTCTTCCCCTCAAAAAATCCTGTCTGGTCAGCATTATGAGTCGCAGTTGGCGGCCAAACATTGGCACCTATCCCAAGTGGTAAACGTTTAAAACACCGGGATACAAATGTTATTCCAAAACTGTAACATGTCTCGATTCTGGTGGTAATAGTGTGAAAATGTAGGGTAATATGTGCTGTATCTGCTACAATAAAGATTTTCCATTCAGTTTTCTTTGTTTTTTGATGACGAGAAAGGAAAACGTACTTTCAGGATGCGCTCTGTATTTTGAGAACTAGAATTTGTGGGGGAAAATGTGTAGGGGCTAGTCAGAATTGTAGTAGTTGTGGGTGACCGAAGTAATTAAAGTGCGTACTAGCCACGAAATCGAATGGAATATACAGCGGGTTTTTCAATATCGTCCTTGACACCGACATCCCGTCTCGTATGTGTTGCGAAGAGTTTCGCGTTCTACTGACCCAGATCAAAGACGTCTGCACGCATGTATGCCTTCATAACGAATAAGGACAAAAAATAGCATACGTAAAGAGGTCTTCAAGCCCCTTTTACGTAATATTTTTTCATCACTTTTTGTCTACGGACAGGGCAGACCGACGTTATCTACACAGCAAATTGGGTACCACGCCCCCGACGACACTTTCTAGACCTTTCCATCAGTGATAGTGGGTGTTATGCGTTCGAGCTTCTTTTACTCGTTTTGTGTGTGATGAATTTGGTGATTTGAAGGATGCGCAAGAGTGAGCGGAAAATAGTTAAACAAACGGAATTATTAATTTTTTCAAAACTTCTGACGCCTCTCGTTATGGACCATACTTACATTTTACATACGTTTATTTCACAGAAAGAGCGTTTCCTTTTTCAAATCGTTCTTACTCAGAAGCTACCGTCAAAATAATTCTAACTGTTACCTGATGTTCACTGATTTTTTGGTTATTTGCAAATGCACACCGCAGTACAAAAATCTCTCTGATTTTGTGGGCTGTTCGTACAGTGTGATGTTCAACCGTTTAGGCTTCAGTGCTTCTAAAGGATATATTCTCACTCTCATTACGTGCAGAAAACTAAATGCCAATATTAAACGCAAACCATATTTGTTCATTGAGTCTCCGTACCAAAACAGTACTGTGTAAAAATATTTTTCCGTGCATATTTTTACACCGAAAGAACGAAAGAGGCTATATAAAGCGTGCTTAACTCTGTTTTCTGTGATACATTATTATTAAAGTTGATTATACCACTGAAAGATATATATCACAGATAACAGAAACAAGAAATGCTTGCAGATATTTTGAGAGTAGTATGCATAAATAACCAATTAAGAATTATTTTTTAAAGTTTAATTAAATAAGCACTTGCTATGTTCAGGCGTTTTCTGTAAGAAAGGGCTTATTTTATAAAAATAAACTGTCATCCTGCAGGGCACGGAGAACGACGTGCGCTACCCGTACGCCATCTTGGGCGCCATCACAGCGCTAGGGGCGGTGCTGGCGTCGCTGCTGCCGGAGACGCTGAACCAGCGGCTGCCCGAGACGCTGCAAGACGCGCAGACGTTCGGCCGCGACCAGCGCTACTGGAGCTGGACGGGCCGCAAAAGCTCCGCGGCGGCGCCCGAGCCGCTCTACCCGGCCAAGTAGACGCCGCGGCGGCGCCCTAGTAACTCTACTCGGCCAAGTAGACGTCGCGGTGGCGCCCTAGTAATTCTACTCGGCCAAGTAGACGTCGTGGCGGCGCCCTAGTAACTCTACTGGGCCAAGTGGACTTCTTGGCGGCGCCCTAGCTGCTCTACCTGGCCAAGTAGAAGCCGCGGCAGCACACTAGTAACTCTACATGGCCAAGTGGACGCTACGACGGCTCCCTAGCAGCTCCCTCCGGCCAAGCATATGTCGTGGCTGCGCCCTAGCAGCTCTACTTGGCCAAGTAGACGCCGAGGCGGCGCCCTAGTAACTCTACTCGGCCAAGTGGACGCTTCGCAATTGCTGGACATTTGTCGTTGCGCCCCACGCGCGCCTCGCGCTCCGTGTGAAGGGATGACGGAACTCGAAACTGGGCGTGTAACTGCTCCGCACTCATTGATTCACTGTACCTCAGAGACACCGAACTGTTAGTCGAGATGGCAATTTCACGTACCGATCTACGACCTAGACTGCTTCCATTTTATCGTCCTCAGGAACGGAGTTGTCTGTGGAAACGAGGGTCCCTAATTCTGACGTTCGAGCCGGAATGCCTCCTTTTTATCACGCACTCTCTTTTTACTACGGATTTCACTCGACCTTACGACAGGAATAGTATTTTTAAACATTCCCCAAGTTGCCTTATAGTGATCCCCAAGAGTATATCGAGAAGACTATAACTGGTGACCATTAGTGTGTGATTGAGTTGCGTGGACATGTAAGGTGTACTTTTTTGTGTGAGAAAATGTTTAACTGTACTCCATAAATCCTGCTAGTGAATATTTCACTTAAGTGAGTCTTGCATACACGATTATCAGTGACAAAATGTAAAACCAGTGAAACTCCAAACGACAAAGAAGTTGCTGTGACACTGAGGCAAGTTCAAGAAGAGACCACACTTTGAAACCAAAAGTAGGAGGCAAAGAAGAATTTGAATGATTTTTATCATTTTTAAAGCGCATATTTGATGGTGCCATTGTCACTCAAGAATTTGCAACTTATGATCTGTATTTTGATTTCTGTGTCTGATTTTAAGGAATATACACGGTATCATAGCTATATGCTTTATTTTTACATGTTTTTCAAGTGTAAACATTATTTTAAAAATATTATATATCATTGAATAAAATACAATTTTATCAGTATGTAAAAACACAACGTACATTTTTCATTGCAAAAAAATGCTTGAACATTTAAATCGTGAAACATAATTTTTAGTAGAAAATGTGAACTTATTTATGAATAAAAATTTCATAAATACTAAAAAAGGAATTCCCGGATTTCACGATCGAGCAAATGGCTTTCTCCAGCATTCTTTTTAAAATTATTTCTTTTAGTAATTAACACACACATACATTCTCTCTCTTTCTCTTCTCTCTCTCTCTCACACACACACACACACACACGCGCGCGCACACACACAGATAGTGAGTGAAAGAGAGATTAAATTAAATATACCAATCAGTAGTTGACACTTTCATGACAATCATTGTAGAAATGATCATATATTGTTCTTATAATATGCTCTTTAACTTTTATTGCTTTGTTATCAAATATAATGTATATCAACCTATCATACAAGGGGCTCACAATATGATTTACACATTTGTGGTTCAGAAACAAGACTTCAGAAACTAGTTAAAATACAAACTTCGAGAGCTCTTTCTCCATGCATTCTGCTTTCAGACTTCTGCATTTTCCTAAGCGGTGCGGAAACCTTCGCAAGTCTTGTTGGAATCACTTCGAAGTTCCGTGCCTGGTCAGCGGTTTGGAGTTCGTTGAAGTTCGTGAAACGGTAACCACTAAGGGGTTTCTTCATTGTTCCGAACAAATGATAATTAGAAGAGGCCACGTCTGGGACAGGAAACTCTTTAAGGTATATCCCTGCTATTGTCTGGGATGTTTTTCGACTTGTATAGATCGGGGTGTATTCGTGTTGAAGCGGCTCTCAGTTCATCCTCCACAGACTTCTTTTGAATGCTGTAACGTAATATTCGAAGCGTATACAAATGGTGTTATTAATAAAAGTTACCCTTTTGATTCTGATAACGGAGGAAATAAACTTTTCCAACCAATAAACTGTTGCCATACTATTTCCAATCGAAGTCTCAATCCGAATTTTTTCCGCTAGTGGCCGGCAAATAGGCTTTAAAGGGCTGTCTCACCCGTTGTCCGTTGTACTTCTGAGTTGGCACTGTCTGAACCATCACCGGTTCCACCACCGGCTCGGAATTACCACGATATCGGAACCATAAAGAAACCACTGCCTGGCCAGCATTTCCAGAACTTCCACGAACTGCAAATCACACTCCAGGCGTGGTTGCGCATCACTCCAAGGGAGTGGTTCTAGGCTGACCTGGCAAGGCCATAAAATCTCCTGTGCTGATGGTAAAAATGTACATGTCTTAAAAGGAATGGGGTTAAAAAAGTGGAACCAACTACAAAGTTAAAAATTGTTTCTTTGTGAATCGTTTTAGTACACCCTAAGTACACATAAATAAAAAAAATCACCATGGTTTTCTATTAATGATGTCAATGTGTTCATTAGATTTATTTATTTGTGCGTGCAAAATGTTTTCAAACAGTAAATATTTTTTCCGCACCGGGACTCGAACTCAGATCCTGCGCTTTCACTCATGAGTCTTTAAAGCCAGGGGTATCCCACTTGTAATGCCTCAAGGGCCACAACTAAAACCTGTAATATGGTTACGAGTCATGTTTACAGCACTCGGGCGAGCCACACCTGACTTCCTCGTATTGTTGATTTCTGTAGTTTGTCAAGCGGCTCTGAAGGAACGTCTTTCCCTGCGTTGTGCATGTCAGGCCATACCATGCACAATATAGGAAAACACATTGCGATGAGTCTGAATTTATGAATTTACTAGATTAATATTCTTAAATCAAAATTTAACCTACTTTTACATTAAGCAAGTTTCAACCGGCGGTCAAACTAAGCTATAATATAATTGTTTCAACCCAATATTTCCAAAACGCAATTTTACTAAAATTCAGAGAGATTATTAAAAAAGAGACATACGCAATTCGTTTTAAGTGTCTATTTAATACGTGAAAAAATTTACAGAACAAAGTTGGAGGGGTTTTTGAGAAAATATTTCTTTTAGAAATTGCATAAATTTACGACACAAATTACGCGAAATCTACTAGTTCAAAAAAATGTAAATGATATTTTTTAAAGTGCTGAGTTTTTAAAACGCATATTGTTTAAAGAAAAAAATGCTATTTTCAAATTTGTAGCTTCAAAATGTTAACGTTTTGCAATTTTCGGCAATACGAAGAGTTTGCCGTTTTTTTTACATACGAGGAGAAAATGTAAAAAGAAATTTAAAATAAACGTTTGAAACGCCCAAAACCTCGAGTTCGCAGAGATAGATCGGGAAAAATCAATTTTGGAAAAAATCAGCTCAACGATTTAGGCCAGGCCTGCAAAACGCCTGCTCCCACGGGTATTCTGCTCTTATGAGCCAGTCGTCTGCACGCGAGAGCACCGAAAGTGTAAGTGGTAGGCAGCTTTGGGGGAGGGTAGAAGCTGGAGCGGGGTTGACGCGGCGTGTAGATCGAATGCCTGGGTGTATAATGCATTGCTCCGTGCTGTGAAATGATTTGCCCACTTATTTACGGTACTTATAGCAAGAACTCACTATGGATAACATTTTATTTGAAGGAAAAATCTCTATCTACAATTTTGGTGTTGTAGGAAGACGTCCGAAAGAATTTGAAATTTTGAAATATTCGAAAATTGAGTGTTAAATCTGAAAATTGGACGTATGCCATCTTTATAAGTGTATTTTACTCTATTCTTACAAGAAATTTAAAGAAAATTTAGAGCCGTTTTTTGAGAAAATTTTGAAAAAATCCGAGGGGCTTCATGTAAAGTACCCGCAAATTTTAAATATTTTTTTAAAAAAATTTCAAAGATTCGACTCGAACCAAATGGATACGGGTTTCTTCAATTTGGAAAAAACCTTACATATGGTTTAGGCACAAGTAGGGTTCACAGTCATCAGACGGACAGACGGACAGGCGGACAGGCCGACAGGCGGACAGAAGAACAGTTGGACGAACGGACGTTTTGAAAAAAAAACAACAACACCTTTTCAGTATCAGGGGACCACAAAATGTGTATTTCCATTGAAATATCGAAATCGATTTTTCGCAGCATTACATAACTTTCCATACACTACGGATATTACTCCGTATATACGTACGTATACGGGAAAGTACTAATGTACTCTTGTCAGAAATTGGAGAATAGGAGCAGAACGTAATCTTGGTTTTTTAAAGATAAGATTTTTAGCTGCGATAGAAACGTCTTATTCAATTGAACATAGTTAATGAAAAAATAATTTATTATAAACAAAAATATTACAATTCTGAATTTAGCAGCATCCTAAATTGGCGATTTGCCAATTGATTGGAGTAGGAAAGTGAATTATATTATCTGTTCTACAAGCAATTATAATGCATGAAATCCCAACCAAATATGTATGTTTACTTTCTGTTAGGGTCATGCTGTACATTTTTATAAATCGACAACAAACATTTCTAAAATGAAAGGTAATGATACTTGAACTATGCGTAACAGTCTGGATTTTTGCAGTTGCTCTTTCAATTTAAGCGCCACAGTTCAAATTGCGCATTCTCATTGGCGGTCCCCACTCCTAGAAAGAGTCTTATCCCCACCGCGTGTCCTTACACGCGCCGGGATTTGCACATACGTTGCCCGCGTGCGGCCTTCGAGTTCAGTCCAAGTGTAAAATGCGCTGCAGGCCTGGTTTAGGTGCTAGCGTTGACCACGCGGTTAATCGATTTTCCGGTATCGTCAAGGACCCACAAAACTTGGATTCTGGCTAAACCGCGTGTTAGAGGAAGTTATTTACTATGAAGGAACAGCATTTATTCACTGCTTCGATACCAGGGCCTGACAATAAGAGTGTTTTGTAAAAAAATCGCAGTTTTTCGCCACTCTATTACAATACTTTCTCTTCTTATATTTGTAATGACGAGAAAGCAAAAATTGACATACTATGATAATGGTGATGGTAGTACCGTATTGATTGCTTAATGCTTCACGTCAACTGCTAAGGTCGTTGGTCCCATTAATGTAGAGTTTTTTTTATCGCAGGAGGCGGCAGTAATCTTCCCCGATGGGTCGCGAGATCCGGCGCCGATTAATGTCCGTTTGCTGGGTTTTCCCCAACTAGGTATCTCCCACCAGCGGAGCATCTTCCCAGCCGGCACAAGTACTAAGTTCCCAACCGCGTTCCCACCATGCGACAGTGTAGTGCAAGAAAGTGCGTATAAGTAAGGGGTGAGGAGAGGAGAAGGAAGAGAAAGGAAAGATCGCGCGCGGTCCGTAGCCCCGTTTGTTAAAGTAATGCTCTGGCCATTTTAGATATTTTCCATCCTTTTATCCCCTAAAAGGTAAAAAGGCATCAGCAGGGCTGCGGCATTTTGACTGTATTCCAGAAATTTTTGACTACTCGGACATTAAAAAATTATCAATCTTCCAAACTTTCCTAATAATAAATAGTAAATTATTAAGACATACATTTAACTTTGTTTTTCTTTCTACAATTTATTCTAGAATAATAAAGTTATCCAATTTGGCATTTGAGCCAACACAAAGAAAACTAAAACGGACAGTTTTTAAGTAAGAATCAGAGCTGGTATTCCTTGGAATAGAAGGACAAAAATTAACTACGTGGAAAAAACCTCCTCTTTATATCTTTTTTTCATTTCAAGTTGGATTTTATAATTTGTTATAATGAGATAACCCTCTTTATTTTTCTCTTACATTATCACACTGTTGAGGGATGGATATAAGCATGTACGACCTTCAAGAACTTACTTTCGTGACCTTCAAGCACTTACATATTCATTAGCTACACAAATAAATCGTATGTCACGTGCTAGATTTTACTGAGAGATAATGAGTAAAAATATCACCGTTGAACAATCCAATTAATCTTAGACCTTGACAGGCACTCTTGCTCTTCTGCGCCTGTGTTCGGCATGATTTTAAATATGTATTGAAATTTTAAAAAAAAGATAGTAGTACAAAACAAATGTAGAACTCTTTCGAAACTAATGGTTTTAGTACAACGATTTCAAATATTGAACTTGTATTTATTATAAATATTTGAAAGATCATAGCGTTATTTCAGAGGTGTATAATCGTATTGAAAAAACGCACACAATTAAAAGCATT